GGAATGTTTAAGGACTTATTTAATATATTTTGGAATGTCCAAGGACTTATTTGTGCCAAAAAATTGTCCAATGACTTATTTAACATGTTTTGGAAAGTTCAAGGACTTATTTGTTCCAAAAWAAARTTCAAKRACTTAATCATTCCAAACAAGAAAGTTCATTGGTTTTTATTGTACTTTTCCCTTCATTTTACACTATATTATGAGAGCTTCTTAATCATTCTGACGACTTAATCATTTTACATCAAACCATTCAGCAATTAACAAACAACTCCTTAAATAAACTGCAACTTTCACACCAAGGTTATCATACTTGTGACTCTCATAGTCTCACTTATTTATGAAAGTATGTCACTTCATAACCAACCTTTATAGAGAGTGTCATAGTTTTATTAAGGGGCTGTTTACCCAAATGCTTACTCGGTAAGTGCTTACTAGTAGGAGTCAATATTATAATTTATTTTATCGGGTAAGATTGCAGTACATCAAAATGGTATCCTATGCAACAATTACCCGGTAAGTGCTTGCCTGGATAAGAGTCGCCACTCTCACTTACCGGGTAAAACTCTTCATCCTTATCATCGCTCTTACCGGGTAAGATTTTTGGCCCTAGTCATATTCATCCGATAAGAAAAATTGCCCGGTAAGCACTTACCAGATAAACGTTTAGTAAACGACCCTAAAAATAGTTGGGCTTTCGTAAACCCAACCATCCACTCATACATACATATATATGGGCTTCATCATTTGAGAACTTAAAGTTTTGTAAGATTTATGAAATCATCCTAAGCCACTAATTTAAAATAATTAATATCATTAATTAATGCGATAATTGAGGAGATAATTGTCATAGTCTTACATCCATACATACATGTATAGACTAGAGATCATGTGAGACAAGACTGTTTTTTAGAGACACGATTTTTACACTTGAAACTTCACAAAAAAAACACTGTGAAGCTAACCTTCACAGTGTTTTGCTGTGAGGATTTGGTTTTTTTACTTTCACAACATTTTGTTGTAAAGTTTCAAATGTAAAAATAGTGTCTCATGTGTCTCACATGAACCCTAACCCTATATTAGTCCAGGTTCAAAAGAAAACAACAAAAAATAAAAAAATTGGAAAACATCTCAGTAACCGTTCATCTAAATAATATTCACATGTGCATACACGTAATTTGTCAGGTATGCACATATGCATAAACATGCACACCAAAAAAAATCTTCAATTACTTATATGCACACGTACATACAGTTCAGATGAATGGTTATCAAAACATTTCTTAGTTTTTTATCTTTTAGGGTTTTCTTTTAAACCTCCTTCTATACATATTTAAATGTGGTGGTTTTATTTTGATACCAAGTTGAAAATGTCTTGGGCTATGTTTTGACCATCCATGGCTGATCCATACAGACCTCTCTTTGCAAGCCCAGCCCAATAAAGCCCATTTTCTCCTTTCCAATGGTTTGGGTACATGGGCTTTGCAAATCCATCTTTAACTATAAGGAAATCACCTCCCTGCATATTTAAAAAAAAAAGTTTCAAACGGTGACACTATTTGATTATGAAAATGACACTAACATAATTCGAACTTGGATATGGGATGGAATAAAAGCCTTGCAAACCAACTATATCAAATAAAACTTGTTCTCATTGTAGTTTTAAAATACATACGGTGTGACACAACAAATTAATACGGTTGCACCGTTCACAAACCTAAATTTTTTACCTTTCGGCGGAGAAATAATACGGTGGCACGTGCCACCTATACCATATAGTTGGGTCTGTCCCTGTGTTCAACCATGGCTACACAACTAGTTTTTATGTAAATCATGTGCGATAACATTACTAAGGGGTTGTTTACTAAATGCTTACTGGGTAATTTTTCTTACCGGATGAACATGACAAGAGTCAAAAATCTTATCCAGCAAGAGCAATGATAGAGATAAAGAGTCTTATTCGATAAGTGAGGGTAACGACTCTTATATGAGTAAGCGCTTACCGGGTAAATTGTTGTATACGATACCATTTTGATGTACAGTGTACTACAATCTTATCCGGTAGAATAAATTACAGTGTTGACACCTAATGATAAGCGCTTACCTGGTAAGCATTTAGGTAAACGACCCCTAACAAACATTTTCATAAAAAAATCTCGTTTCTTTCATTCTCTTGTTGCAACTCAATTATTTACGTCAGCTAATTTGATTATAATTATTTAAAAGTACTGTCTCCACAACTTAAAGGAAAAAAAACGTTACCTGAAGCCACAGATGGGTAGATCTTTTAAACCCAGTAGCGAACATGATTGTATCAAAATGATAACATTTCCCATTCTCAAAGACAACTTCTGTTCCGCTACTTTTTATGCTTTTCAACCCCGGTAAGACCTATTTATGTTGTAAAAAGATCAAGACATCACATTTTTATGTACACAAAAGAAAAGTACCACTTTTCCTCGGGGTGTGCAGAAAATCAACCGATCCAATTGGAACCGACTGATTCAATTAGAACCGGCCGACCATAATTGGATATCCAATTATAATTGGATCGGATCGGATTGAAAATTTCAACGTCCAATTTGGATTAGTCGAGAACCGACCAATATTGAACCAAACCGAACCGATCAACATCCAATGACCATCCAATTGTCCATCCAACCATTATTCAACTATCATCCAATTAAACTATTTTCAAATTGCTTGAATCGGAATTTGTTTTATGTGAGGCTTTAAAATTTTAATTTTCCTTGTGTTGGTTTTAATAAATATTAAAAGTGATTAATCAATTTATATAATTGTTGGAGAATTGGATTAAATTAACACATTTGATGGATCAAATCCCGACGGATCATCCATCGGATATCCGATAAAAATCCAATAAAAGTATCCAATTGATGGAACTGAACCGATCCAATCATCCATTTGATTGGATTGGATCGATCATCCAATGTTAATCAAATAGGTTGGCAAAATCCAACATCCGATGGATGATTGGATCGGTTTGGTTCCCCTCACATCCAATGGATGCCGACCGAGGAACATGCCTACTTTTCCTAAAATTCAAGAAAACCATACCTGTATCTCTCCAGACTTGATCTTTTTTGCTGTGCCAACATCAATAACCGGATACCTGTTATATCTTGCTTTCAGAAACAACGGACCTTCTTTGGGCCTTTGGATCCCGTATTTGGTTAGGTTTCCGTACATTACTTTGCTAGTCAACACCAAGAACGAGTCCACCCAATGCCATGGTATAAACTTTATATGCGTCATTAACTTAAATCCAAAATTTATCGACCATCTGGGTGTTATATGAATCTACAGCACCAAAACACATATCACGCTAATTGTTATTGTATAACATTTATGCACCAAAAACTGCATACTAAAATTGCGTCTTCTGAAAAACTAATGGGATTTTAAGATAATATCACTCTGTCTGTGTTTGCCTCTTATCGAATAAGATTCTCGGTTCTTGTCATGATCTTGGTAAATGCTTACCCAATAAGCAATTGTTAAACATTCCCTTTGTATCACATGTGATGGTTGATGAATTATATTATAGTGAAAGTTGTTCTTGTGTTTTCATTTGAAAATGTTCCATTACACAACATTACTTTATTTTAAAAATCTTTAAAATAAAAAAAAAAACTTGTTAAAACGTCTAATAAACCTACTGTAACACTTTTAGATAAAACGTTTTACTGTTTGGTCCTATAAACTTAAGTCACGTAAAACATTATATGTAAAACATTAACAAATCCATGATTTGTTGTAGTACCTATTTGAATTGTTTAATACGATGGAGGTTAAAGAGAACCCCCAAAACAATGAAAAACTAAGGAACATCCTAGTAACTATTCATTTGAATGGTATGCAGATGTGAATACAAGTAACTGAAATACAAATTAATTTTATGCATATATGTATACCAAACAAATTGCTTACAAAATACTTGTATTAGCATTTACATACATTTCAAATGAACGGTTAACAAGTGTAATTTCCTTAGTTTTTTTTTTTTTTTTTAAGAATTGTAAATGTAAAGGGAAGCTTGTAGTACCGGACTTGGTACAACAATGGAGGTTTTTGCACCATGGTTACACAGATCAAGTGCAATTTCCATGCCGGAATTCCCAGCTCCGACGACCAAAACCTTCTTATTCTCATATCGTTCGCCGGATTTATACTCCGTTGAATGAATAACTTCACCTCTAAACTCACTCAACCCATCAACCTCCGGAATAAACGGATCACTGGTTTCTCCGGTGGCCACCACCAAAAACTCTCCCTCATACCACCGACCACCACCGTCCTCCTCTCCACCAACTATCTCCACCTCCACCTTCCATTTCTTCCGATCTTCATCATACTTTGCAAGCTTTACGAAGTTATGGAACATCGGTTTAATCTCAAAATGAGATGCGTAATCGTCCAAGTATTTCAAGAAATCTTTTCTGGGTACATACGTCGGAAAGTTCGCCGGAAAATTCATGTGAGCAAGCTGACAGGCTTCCTTGGTTAAGTGGAGGTGAAACCGGTGGTATGATTTGTTCTTGAATAATGAAGCAACACAATCTTCTCTTTCGAGGATTACGTATGGGATCGAGAGTCGGTGGAGGGATGCGGCGGTGCACAGGCCAGATGGGCCGGCGCCGACAATGATCACCACCGTTTCTGTAACTCCTGTATTCGTTTTCCGGCCGCCGGAGAAAGGGAAAAAAATAGCTACGTGGGATGATGGTAGTTCAGTCGTTTTTGTTGCAATACTTCGAACAATCGAACGTGAAGTTGTTGAGTGATAGGTGACATATATGGACCACAAACAACAGAGAAGATTGGATAACGAACCAAACTTTGATTAATAAGCTTATCTAGGTTAATGACTTGTTTGTTTACCTCTTAATAGTTTTATTAAGAGGCAACATTTGAATCATTAAGTAGTGAATCTTGTTTGACAAAAAAAAAAAAGATGTCTCTTAACAGTTTTAAAAACCTCTGAATGATTTTGTATTATATGCATTCATTGACCATTACGCGTCCTAATTTCATTGTAAACAATTACTAAAACAATTATATTTCATTTTGTACTATATCATGAAAGTCTCTTAATCATTCTAATCCCTTAACGATATCTAAGTTATCGGTAATAGCAATACTACTTGAGTTATTGGTAGAAACAGCATCTGGGTTACCTTACCTGTAGAGGCCGTTAGGGATGGGAATTAATGGGGCGGGACCCTGATCCCCATTCCTACACCCGGTCGCCAAAGTCTGTCCACAATATCCCCATTGAGAAATATGATCATATCCCAATGGGAAATCGGGGATTTTTTATTTATTTATGCGAGGTAATTTAAATCAAATGTGTTAAATACTACATTTGATTCAAAATGGTCCATGTTTAAATCTCACATAATTTTAAAAAGATATTGTATTAATGGGATACCAGATATTCACATGTGAATAATCATATGTAATTGTTTGATCAAACGCTTTTGACTATCCATGTTTTTCGTCTAAAAAAGTAAAACAACTCCTAAAAAAGTATATAAGAATAAATGTCAAAATATTTTTTTCTAATTTAAAATATACTAAATCTATTTTTTTAACTAATATATTTATATAAGAAATATACAATCTATACTATATTATAAAGTATTTGACAAAAACCATTAAAAATCATTTTTTATGCATAAAATACTGTTTATTGATTCATATTACTTAAAATTCAAGATTACAAGTAGTTTTACGTAAGTACAACTTCTTAAAACTTTATTTTAAATTTGTGTAACTAACTGCATATAAACATAATTAAATACAAGATAAACATACATTTTAAATATAGAAAATTTAAAATATAATTAAGATAATTATTTGAGTTATAACAAACGTTTAATTATTATCTTTATAAAAAAAATATTATTAAACCAAAAATAAATTACTTTCTTATTAAATCTAAATTAAATTACAATAAAAATTTGAATTAAATAAGTTACAAAAAAAAAAACTATTAAATAGTTAATTTGATACTAATATCGACATTTTTTTTTCAAATATTTATGCTATCTTCAAATTTATATTTCATTTAAAAACAAAAACATTATCGCTTTCTCAAAACCACATAAAATCATATTATATCGACATAAACAAAAGAATTAAAACTAGACATTAAAATAAGATTTATTTCACTGGATTGCTCGAGTACCCTTCTAGTATATTTAAAATAAGGGATGCCTGTGTAAAAGAGACTAAACCTAACCCTCTTCTGGTTGATGGATTTGCAAACACGAAAGACCCATAAAGCCCCAAACGAGATCCATGTAGCCGCTCAACTTATTTTTGCAAGTACAAATTTTTATGGGTATGAAAGGTGCATCTATTAAATTTCTGTATTTTAATCGTCAAAATCTGTTGGCACAAAAAGAAAAGAGAACATGATAGAAGCATGTTAGCTTCCATTTGTTTTGGAATGAAATGAATGCAACAAACCGTATCGATCAACAGTCAAAGGGGTGGGTTAGGCGAGATTAGGCAATTAGCGCATCCTTGCTAGAACAATTGGCTACCGATAGATTTTCCAAAAGAGAGGTTCAATTTTGGTACCTAACGTTTTGCAATTTTTTACGGATATTATACACTGTAAACTTGGATTTGGTTATTCGCGTCTGTTAATTCCCACTGATTTTAGATTTTTGTCTAACGGTCGTTATCTATCTTTGTTAAGCTCAAGTAAATCAGACGTATTTTAGAAGTTGTTTACTTGCGGCTTAATTAGACTTATTGGTCTATCTGGCTTATTCGCACAGCTCATTTGTCCCCATTCAGCCACAAAAATGACACATCTATCCCTTATTTAAAGCATCGCCTCATTCCCAAATGAAACACCCCATCGTCAACCTCTTTATGATTTTTTGTTTTGATGTTCAAATAATTAATATTGGGGGTAAATCGGTCATTTATGTTATTCAGACTGTTAGTTCAGATAAAAAAAGTAAACAACAACACCCATTTATTTAGAAAAACAAATTTATCCGTACAAGACTTAATAAATTTTTTTGATAAACAACCCTTTAGTCATTTTCTCTATTTTTATTATATTAGAAAAACGTATTCTATTATTACTTTTGATTTGTAAAAAAAAAAAAAGACAAAAGCAAAACAAAAAGCAGTGGTCACCATTGTACTTTTCTATTTTTGTTTTACGATTAAAATTAAAAAGGGAAATTTATAAAAATAACCATTTTATACAACATTTTGTCACGAAATAATCGGGTTTTAGAGGTTTTGCGTATTTGACCACCCAGATCTACCCTAAGGGCAATCTGTACACATATGGGGCGATCCGTACTTTTTTGGGGCGATCCCCAATAGAATTCTAAAAAAAATTTAAATTTTTTTTACTTAAAAGACGAGATTACCGTTCACCTCGAAGACCGGTTTTGACCTCGTCCTAGGGGGCGATCCAGGCTGTCCCATCGCCCCCAGGGGCGATCCAGTCTTTTATTATTATTTTTATTATTTTTTTTGTGGTATTTTTAATAAAACTGATATGCCATTTAAGTTATGTTTTTAAACTTTTTTACAACCAAAATTCATGGGTAAAGATTTAAAAATAAACCATTATAATTATGGAGACGCAAAAGTTAAGTTTACGTGGTCTCTCTGATAACCTCCCCCAGTCTCGTCTTTTAAGGAATTTTTTTTATTATTATTTAGAATTATGTTGGGGATCGCCCCAAAAAAGTACGGATCGCCTCATATGTGTACGGATCGCCCTTAGGGTAGACCTCGGTGGTCAAATACGCAAAACCTCTAAAACCTGGTTATTTTGTGGCAAAAGGTTGTATAAAATGGTTATTTTTATAAATTTCCCAATTAAAAATATAATATGTTTTTAGACAAATTTGTATGAAAAAAATAATATATTTTAACTTAATTTTTATTTTAGGCAACATACTTTTAAAACTTTCATTTTGATATCTAAAATATAAAGTTTTAAACATTTAAGTATTCAGGTAATTGGTTGAAGCATTAATCGGTTACCATACTGATGTACCGAGTGACATGGTATCTAACTCAGTATTATTTGCTATCCAATCCAATTTTATCTCTTCACTCACCACATCAGCATGGTAACCGATTAATTCTCCAACCAGTTACTCTGGTATCTAAATGTTTAAAATTTTACATTCTCAGGTACCAAAATGGAAGTTTTGAATACACACTACCCAAAATAGGAATTAAGTTAAAGCACATTACTTTTTAATGAAATTTGCAATTAAAAAATTTAGTGAAAATGACTAAAATACTCTTATTTCAACTGAACTTAAACCGAAATTAACAACCGTTGGATAGAAGAACCAAAAACTAAAATACTTATAATATAATTAATATTATAATATATATATATGTATATATATATATGTATGTATATATATATATATATATGTATATATATATATGTATGTATATATATATATGTATACATATATAATTTGAAACATGGATGTAAAATGCTTTGGAAATATGAAGATAAAGAAAGGGGGAGGCTTATGGCACTCCTATTCAATGTCATTGCCATCCCTAAAGTTATTTTAGTCATTATTATTTTTAGTGTTTTTTTTTTGTCTTTTTCTTATTATTATGTTTTGTCTTATTGTTATTTTAATTTA